TCTTCCACGTTCCATCATCCATCTGCACTCCACCGTAGATGGTACGCAACACCTTCCGTTCGAAAACACCTGCTGCTATCAATTTCGGCAGTCAACAGCACAAACTCGTCGGCCGCCTCGATTTCGTCACTGTCAATCTGAACTCAACATCAAGGCAACAGGGTTTTTGGAGTAATTCCACAGATCTGAAGCAACTCCACAGGGCTTCTGAATCAAATTCACAGAACTTCTTGTTGAAATCCACACATTGCTTTTGCTTCGAGCCAACGTGGCTTTTGTATTTACATAACAGGAATTCTACGGAGTTCCTAAAGTAAATCCGCTGGGCTTCTGGTGGAAATCCACATGACTATTGGATCAAGTCCACAAGATTTCTAGTGCAAGTCCTCAGAACTTGTGGAGTTAATCCACAGGGCTTCTGGAGTTAATCCACAGGACTTGTGGTAGCAATCTACATGGCATTTGGATCAAGTCCACGAGGCTTCTGCATGAAGCTCTGAGGTCCTCTGGAGCAAGCCCAGGGCAACATAGCAATGTTAAGTGGAGCTCTACCAGAAGTCCTATGAGCTTGTTTCAGAAGTTCTGTGCGCTTAATCCGGGCGCCCTGTACACTTTCTGTAGAAGTTCTATCGAAAAACTCCAGAAACTCTCAGAAACTCCAGAAACTCTGTAGTCATTTAAATTCCCCTCAGAAATTGTGTGGGCTTGCTCCAGAAGTTATGGGACTGAAATTCTGAGGACTTCCATTAGAAGTCCTGTGGACTTGATCCAATAGTAGTGTGTATTTCCACCAGGAGTCCTGCTGATTCAATCTAGAAACTCGGTTAAGTAAATACAAAAGCCATGTGGGATCGAAGCAAAAGCCATATGGATTTCTACAAAAAGCCCTATGGATTTAATCCTGAAGCCTTGGGGGCTTACTTCAGATCTGTGGAATAACTCCAATGGCCCTGTTGACTTGATCCAAAAGTCATGTGGGTTCTATCAGAAGTCCTGTTAATTTCCACAACAAGTCCTGTACACTTGATACGCGTAGACAACCTGGCAGAAGCTCTTTTGATTAGTTTAAGAAGCCCTCTAGTTTTAATCCAGAAGTCATTTAAATTTCCCTCTGAATTCCTGTGGGCTTACTAAAGAGGACCTTAGAACTTCATGCAGAAGTCAAATGGACTTGATTCAAATGCCATGTAGATTGCTAGCACAAGCTCTTTGGATAAACTCCAGAAGTTCTGAGGACTTGCACTAGAAATTCTGTGAACTTGATCCAATAGTGATGTATATTTCCACCAGAATCCCTTTGGTTTTACTTTAGGAACCCCGTAGAACTCCCGTTAAGTAAATACAAAATCCATGTGGGCTCGAAGGAAAAGCAACGTGTGGAAGAAGTCCTGTGAATTTACTTCAGATCGGTGGATCTGAATCGTCAGATCCAAGCGGAGGTCCACCAGAAGTCCTGCGGATTTACTCTAGAAACCCAGTAGAATCCCCGTTAAGTAAATACATAAGCCATGTGGGCTTGAAGGAAAAGTAATGTGAATTTCCACAAGAGGTCTTGTGGATTTGGTCCAGAAGTCCTGTGGAGTTGCTTCAGATCTGTGGAATTACTCCAAAAACACTGTTAACTTGATCCAAAAGTCATGTGGAACTCTTTGTGGACTTCCATTAGAAGTCCTGTAGACTTGATTTCTTAATAAAGAAAAAAAAAAATGGACTTTGTTCAGATCTGTGGCATTACTTCAATGGCCCTATTGACTTGATTCAAACGTCATGTGGAGCTCTACCAGAAGACCTATGATTTTCCACAAGAAGTCATGTAGACATCTTGCAGAAAACCTTTTGATTAGTTAAAGAAGCCCTTCCTACAAGTTTGATCCAGAAGTCATGTATATTTCTTTAATAAGTCCTGAGGGCTTACTCCAAATGACCTCAGAACTTCATGCAGAAGCCCTGTGGACTTGATAAAAATGCCATGTAGATTTCTGTACTTCATACCATGACTTGTAGTGTACTTGATACAATAGTCATGAGGATTTCCACCAGAAGTTCTGCGGATTTACTTTAGGAACCCCGTTAAAGGCCTGTGGGCTCGAAGCAAAAGTCATGTGGATTTCTACACGAATTTCTGCGGATTTTCTCCAGAAGCCCTGTGGACTTGCTTCAGATCTGTGGAATTACTTCAAAAGCCCTGTTGCCTCGATCCAAATGTCAAGTGGAGCTCTACCAGAAGTCCTGTGAGCTTGCTCCAGATGTCATGACTTTCTGCAAAAGCCCTATCTTATAACTTCCAGAAGCCCTGTACGTTTGATGCAAAAGTCGATTAAATTCCCCTCAGAAATTGTGTGGGCTGCCTCCAGAAGTGCCAAGAACATCATTCAGAAGACCCGTCGACTTGATCCAAAAGCCATGTAGATTTCTACCAAAAGTGCTCTGGATTTGCTCCAGAAGTCCTGTGGAATAATTTAAAAAAGTTATGAGGACTTCTCCCAGTGGATTTGCCCCAGAAGTTCCGAGGATGTCCATTGGAAGTCCTGTGGACGTGATCTAATATTCATGAGGATTTCCAGTAGAATTCTTGCGGATTTGCTCTAGAAGTCCTGTAGAACCCCTGTCAAATTTATTCAAAAGCTCTGTGGGCTTAAAGAAAAACTCATGTGGATTTCTACAAGAAGTCCAGTGGGTTTGTTCCAGAAGCTCGGTGGACTTGCTTTAGATCTTATCAATTACTCCAATGACCAGTTGATTCAAAAGTCAACTCGTGGACTTGCTCCAAATTCCATGTAGATTGCTACCACAAGTCCTGTGACCCTGATTCAATAGTCTTGTGGATTTCCACGAGAAGCCATGCGGATTTACTTTAGGAACCCCGTAGAACCCCCGTTAAGTAAATACATAAGCCATGTGGGCTGAAAGCAAAAGCAATGAGTGGATTTCCACCAGAAGCCCTGCGGATTTCCTTCAGATCGGTGTAAATACTCCAATGGCCCTGTTGTCTTGATCCAAATGTCAAGTGGAGGTCTACCAGAAGTCCTGTGCGCTTGATCCGGAAATCCTGTAGAATTCCTGCAGAAACCTTAGCGAATAACATCCGGAGGCGCTGTACGTTTGATGAAAAAGTCGATTAAATTCCCCTCAGAAATCGTGTGGGCTTACTCCAGAAGTCTTAAGAACTTCATGCAGAATACCTGTGGACTTGATCCAAAAGCCATGTAGCATTCTACCAAAAGTGCTGTGCATTTGCTCCATAAGTCCTGTGGAGTAATTTCAAAAGTTCTAAGGACTTCCTCCTATGGATTTGCTTCAAAAGTTCTGAGGATTTCCATTAGAAGTCCTGTGGACTTGATCACACATTCATGTGTTTTTTCACCAGAATTCCGGCTGATTTACTCTAGAAGCCCTGTAGAATCCGTGTCAAATTTATTCAGAAGCTCTGTGGGGTTGAAGCAAAAGTCATGTGGATTCCTACAAGAAATCCAGTGGATTTGTTCCAGAATCCCTGTGAACTTACTTTAGATCTGTGCAATGACTCCAATGACTATATGTAACTCTACCAGAAGCCTTGTGAATTTCCTCAATAAATCCTGTGCACTTGATATAGAAATCCTGTAGACTTTCTGCAGAAGCCCCATCGAATCCAGGGGCCCTGTAGGTTTGAGCCAAAAGTCGCGTACATTTCCTTCAGAAATCCTGCTCCAGAGGACCTCAGCGCTTCATGTAGAAGACCTGTGGTCTAGATCCAAAAGCCATGTAGATTTCAACCACAAGTCTTCTGGATTTGCTCCAGGAGTCCGGTAGACATGCTTCAGACACCCTGAAGAACTTCCTGCGCAAGCTTTATAGAATTTCCCCTAAGGCCCTGTCAGCTTGATCCAAAGGTTAACCTCAGAAGCCTTGGAGATTTACTCTAGAAAACCTATGGGCATGCTCCAGCAGTTCTGTGAACTTGCTACTGTCCAGTAGAAGCCCTGTTGAATTGCTCCAGAAGCCCTATGAGATTGATTCAAATGTCAATTGGATTTCCACCAAAAGTAATGTCGATTTGCCCCGGAAGGCTTGTAGACTTGCAGAAGCCCTGTTGAATTACTCTTGAAGCTCGATGACTTGATTCAAAAACCGTGTGGATTTCTACCAAAAATCCTATGGACTTACTCCAAAAACCCTGTAGAACATCGGTATAATGGCTCTAGAAACTCTGTAGGGTTGAAGCAACAAGTCAAGTGGATTTCTTACAGTAGTTCTATGGATTTGCTTCAAAAGTCCCGTGGATTTGCTCCAGAAGTACTGTGAACTAGCTTGCTACCTTCCTGCAGAAGCCCTGCTTAATTGGCTCAAGAAGCCGCGGGCTTTCTTCTGTTGAATTGCCGCAGAAGTCCTGTTTACTTGATTCAATAAAGTCATGTGGATTGCCCTTTTAGAGCGTTCTAGATGATCTGCGCTCATACTTTAGAAGTCCTGTAGATTTCCAGTAGGAGCCCAGTGGAATTGCTTCGGATGCCGTTTGGGCGTGATCCAGAAGTCAAAGTGACTTCCTGTTAATGCTCTGTTTAATTGCTTCAGAAGCCCTGTGCACGTTATCCAAGAGCAATATAGATTTCACCTAGAAATTTGGTATATTTTCTCTAGAAGTCCCGCTGAACTCCCTCAGTTAAGTCTCACTCTCCAAAATTCCTGTTCAATTCAGTGTCAACGTTTCAAAGAGGCGTAATTGCTTCTGTTAACTTTGGCTAAAGCCGTCTATTTCTCGCTCACACATGAAAATTAATGACACCGACAGGTAGGGGAATGTTTTCTCCACCAGCTAGCATTGTGAGGGGTGAGCTCTTATTTGTGAGAAATCAAGGGCTAAATTAATTTTTTTTTATAGCAAACGCCTCTTTGAAATGTTGACAACGAATTTCTGCAGCTGAGCCAATCGTGCCTGGTTGATCATTACGAAATTGCAAAGACTGTCACACACCAAAATTAGACAAGGATTTGTCATCATCAAAACAGCAACACAACCATTATTTTATCGAAACCATTCTCGTTTTGATTTATTCAAAAAACCATCATTTCATTTCATCCCTTTCATCCAAGAGCAACAACTAAAAACTACATTCAATGGTAAACTAAGGATAATGAAATTAAACTAATACAGTACAGTTGCGTTCAGACATTTGTCGGAAAATTTTCCACAATTAAGTGTTTTTTTTTGGTCTAACAAAATGACAAAACTTCTTCAGTTTCGAGTGCGCGAAGCTTGCCTATCAAATTTTCGAATCATATACAAACGATCGTCCTTATCCGCTTTTGATTGAATTACCATCTACATAGCACAAATCCTTAATTCGATAGGTTAGAATCTATATTTATAGGAATTGAAATTGATTGTTGACTTTTTTGTATTTTTCTTCGTTTAATATGCCTTAAACCTACAAATCTTATTGTACTAATACGCTACCGGTAGTGTCTACTAAATTCATTTCAATATATAAGTAAAAAAGCAGAAAATACTTCAGAAAACTAACCCTATGCCTAGACACGATCAATATTCGGGTTGTCATTTTCCATTTGTTTTGTATGTTTGTAACTCTTTTTTGTCAATTTTTAAAATAAATATTTACAGTATCTCTATAACCAGCGTTCCAGTTCATTTCTACAGTTGTCTTTTGTGTCTGATTTTAAATCGATTCGATTCACCGTCGTTCTCTCTTTGTATGCATGCTTCCTGTGTATAGAAATATTTCACATTTAAAAATTAAGAAAAAAGAAGTCCTGATATCACAATGCGCTTTTCTTTGTTCAGTGTTTCGTTTCGATTCGGCCTTACAGAGCTAGGGTCACAATATGCTTTTGTTTCGTTTTGCTTAGAAATCTAACAGCTTCGTCTACCAGTTAACTTAATAATCGGTTTTATGTATTGGAATAAGTATATAAATAGCGTTCTGCTCTTGTCGCGACAAGATTCGAAATAGATAGGGAAAAATATCCTACCAACTTACGAGCTAGGGTTTTTAAAAATGGGGAAAAAACCGTACTTTTGTCATTTGTTTGTCTTTTGATCAGATGCTTTGGTTTTTCACAGCTATTCCGATGAACTTACACGTGTATATCGATACAAGAGGGGGGCGGAGAATAACTGCTTTTTTATGTACAGATGTTTTCTTCTTCTTCTTCTTCTTCTTGTAGAATTGCTCGTAGTTTTGCTTAGATGCTCCAAAAAATTTTCACCAAAAAACAATTGTTAACAACCAACACGACTAATTTTTGTGTATTCGTGTGCTGCTTAAATACGAAACCTGATTAAACGGAACGGAACAAAGGATATTTGTTAATTAACTGACATTGAAGTCATGTTGAAATAAGAATAACTCACCATCCTTAACAGCCTTCGTCCAGTTCGAACCCGGATCCGAATTCAGCAAAGAACTCGGACCCCGCCCGACCAAAACCAAACACGATATTCGCCACAAGAGAGACACGATTCAACACGACTCACTCCGCCGTCGACTTCCTCGAGCGGAGAGAGCACGCAAGCGAGTGAGAGGGGATGAATCATTTTTGCACAATCTGTTCTGGCAGCCAGGAGAGAAACAGAACCAAAACAAAAGAAAGTTAAACGATTGCACAGCATTTGGATGGGGTTTTTTGCGATCGTCCTTACCTCTTGCCGCGTTTTGTATATAGCACCAAAAATTCACAACTCGCTCCATTTGCGACGGCGACGCTTACAGCTAGCAGTGCCGTCGCTGGCGGAGACAGTGGCGTCGGCAGTTGTAGCAGTAGTAGTAGTGAAAGCACCATCACTAGTCCTTGACCTAGTTTCTCTCGTGCGCCGTAGCCACCGCCACTTTCGCCCTTGGCCCAAGGGCTCTCGCTTATTCCTAGTGGTAGTAGTAGTAGAAGTAGTAGTAGTAGTTATAGTAGTAGTAGTTGTATCCGTAGTCCTGGCACGTTTTTGGCTAATGTTATCGATGTTGCTGCTGCTGCTTTTATCGGAGGCGGCAGTCTGGTCATGATGGTGTCAGTAGATTCGCCGGAATAGGTAGTACAGTTTTTTACATAATAGACAGGGCTCGGGGGAGTCTTTCGTCTGTTGCGCGAGCATGGCTGGTGGAAGAGAGAATGAAGGGGAATGCGGTTAGATGTGCATTTTTAAGGGCAAATTATCTACAAGCTGTCGATTTGGAAGCTGCTTTCTACCGACTTAAAATAGATGTAGGACTTGAGTGATCTGCTCAGAGGGCATCATGGGCTTATTAAGAGAATTTCTGTGCAAGAATTTGCTCTTTGGAATTCAAGGGAAAGGCCTTCAGAAGCAGAAGGACTTCAATGGAAATTTTTCAGACGTCATCAAGAGCAAGCCATGAAGATTTGTAGAATCAGCCTAGAGGATTCTTAGCACAAAGCGCTCAATCAAGGCCTGAAGGATTCGAAAAATCAGGAATTTTCAACTTTCACCTTGTTGAAAAGGCAAACTTATTGGGTACGATTTACGGAAATTTTTCAGTAAACAAATATTCAAACACCATTTTCGGCGAAATTAAAGCTTACTTTTCAGACATTCAGATTTCACTGTTTTGGTTGTTTGACGTTTAAAACGAGCATCTTTGGCGCACAAGTTGCTTTTCAGGTAATTGTAATGCTTATTTTTGACAAGGCCATAAGCACAACAAGGCAACAACAACAATGACGAGAAAATTGAAGGATTTAAGATTTTTAATTTTTGGTTGGTTTAAATGAATTTTGTATTGTCATTTCAAAGGGTTTTGAGCGATTTTAAAGAGCTTTGAGCATGTAAATGAAGCAGTTTCACGCCAAATGACAAATCGAAAAAAAACTCGGTCTTCTCCGATTGTCATGAAACTTCGCATAATTGTTCGTTATGGGCAATGATTCACATCTTTGCTAAAATTCAGCCATTTTGGGACTTGCAAAATTTTCAAAATGGCGTCTTTGGAATTTTTCAAAAGATTGTAGCACGGAAACGGCACTTCTGAGCGAAATGACGTCTGAGACAAATTTGTAGAGAAAAGAAATGATTTTCTGGGAAAAAATTACAAAAACATGTTTTATGTAACTTCAACTAAAAAAAAAAAAAATCAATAAGAATTTTGCTGCTGATTTTCATTTGGTGATTTTAACCATTTTAATCATGGTTAAACAAACTTCCGACTGTTCAATTAAAAATCAATCAAAATCTCATGGACGGGATTGGATAGATCAGACCATGGCGTGAAAAAGAAAATGAAAAAAAGGAAGATCCAGGAGCGGGAGCTGTCTTAGCTGATGGACAACGAAGATCCCAAGATGATCACGATGGTGTGAATCCAGCAGGCTTATAGTGATACCGAGAGATGCCGGACTGTTGCATTTGATGCATCTCTTTCCGAGGACTGGCAACGAGTAGCGGTTTTCCTTAATCAAGATCCAAGAAACTTTTCTGAACTGTATTCGGGAGCTTCAAGGATTATTCGGGTGAGATCCTTCCTTTTTATTTATATAGTTCGTAACATTATGTTCCATATCAATTTCACTAAAACAGTACTAAGAAAACAAATTGAGGAACTCGGCTAGCTTAGTGGCTGCTGCGTTTGCTTACTGTGCATAAGATCGTGCTTTTGGTTGTATCGCCTGGTTGAGGCGTATCCTGACCTAATACCGTACCCAATACCCCAACTCTGTAGTACTTATGACTAAGTTATGAGGGTGTCACTGATTCGGTGGCCTCTCGGTAAATATAGGCACACAAAAGGAAAAGTTCGCGAGTCATTGTGAGTTTTAGCGAACTTTTCCTGTAGATTGATTAGAGACACGTTTTTTTCAGTTTCAGAGCTAGGGTTCCTTCCTCCTTTTCCTCTCTCCTCCGGCCTTTTATTCCATTTTTTTTCTTTTCAGAAAGCGAGTAATGGCGCTATAACCATAAGCCATATATGGCTAAGACAAGAGCTAGTGCTCATATCCCAACCACTCGAGGAAAATGGAGCATCATTTAACTTTTTTTTAGATTAAATGCTCCCAACGACCAATTTATTTATAATGACGGAACGTACGGTACGAGATGTCCACGTTTCATCCATTTATTGGATTCTCAAGCATCGTGTTTAAATCTATGATTTAAACAGGCCCGATGTTTCTGAATCATCTTGCCCCTTAAATGCTGCACAGTAGGCCTGGCCGTTTTGATATATTTTGCGCATTTCTGATGTTCAAAATACATCAAATAGACAAGAAAAAGGATGGAGGTATACCTATCATTTTCCAGGATGCTGTCATGAACTGGCTGTGTTGGTGTTAGATTAGATTAGATTAGACTTCAACTAAAAAAATCAATAGAAGCTGTTTAAATCCAAAATATCGCCAAATGACCTTGTAAGATTTTCAACATTAATAAAAGTGCTGTTGATAAATGCAAATCTTTGGAATATTTAAATCATAAAAACTTAATAATCGACGTCTTGAGGATTTTCGGTTAAATTTTTTAACTATGTTTTGAAAAGTTTTTTTCCATCTGATTTATACTCAGAACTCAATTTTCAAAAAAATTTAAATATTTTTTTTTCTGAAAGTACTTGTTCTTAATTTTTTGTCATTTTTCAAGTGTCCATGAGTTTAAACATTTAATAAGTTTTAATTTTTTAAAAGTTTTTAATTTTGAAAATAAAAATCAAATATTGGACAAAATCTTTTAAGATACATTTTGGTTTTCTAAGTTTCAATTTTTCCTCAAAGTAAATATAAAAAAAAAAAACACATTTTTTTTTTATTTTAAAACTCCAAGGGGGGACAAGCCCTATGGGGTTGTACGCAATGGTGACGTAGGACTACGTGGTCTAATATAATAAATCTTATTTGTTAGCGGCAGCAGGAGCTTGTATTTTGTGTAGGAATACTAATTTGAGCGGGGTTTCTCTGTTTATACTCTTTAGTATGACGCGCTTGATATAGATGGCCCACAGTGACTCACGAATTGCGGAGCGGCTTCTTCCTCCTATGGATGTGGGCTGCAACTTGCTGCTTGTAGGCAGTCTTTCTTTGTGTACTGGAAAACACCACTACTCATCACGCAATGATTGAATAAACACCGTTTGGTGAGACCAGATGGAGTTCAACTTCGAAATCTGCGTTAGGGAAATCGCTTTTCTCGGGCAATCGGTGAAAATTTTAGTTTGCATAGCAACAGTTACATATTCGTGCAATTTTCAATAGTGACATTTTGAAAAATTATAAAGTCTTAATTTCAACAGAATCGTAGACAAAATTCCTATCGATTGTTGAATTAAGAATAAAAATTCATCATCTCTGCATCACAATAAGGCCACTTTCATGCCTTTACCGACTTTGGTTTTTGAAATTGCACCCCCAATGTTGCCTCCAAGAACATGGTATGTTAGATTTAAACATATCTAGATAGAGCTGGAATAAGGCGTAACAGCTTTTGTAGATACTGACTTCTTTCGATGATTTTTAGGAATTTAAGGCACGCCCACGCAAACCAACATTACCATCGGGTGAACTTCCCTTACTATATCTGATAATGATATTGATTGTGTGGGCGAACTTTGACTTTCAATACACCATTGAACTGACATCCGATTGATGACCTTGGCAAATGTCCAAAAAAATACTCATGAAAAGGATCGTTTCGTCGTGATGGTAATGCTGTTAGGGTGTTCAACACGGATGAGGCTGGTGAGCTGTATGTTGTTTAGAATGCGGCATACGAACTTGGCATAGATGGCCCACAGCGAAGAGCTATTCCGATCAATAGCGGTGCGGCTTCTTCCTCCTTCTATGTATGCACATGTGGGCTGTAGCTCACTGCTTGCAGGCAGCCTTTCGTTGTGTACTGGAGAACAATGTTCAACGCCACACGCCGAAAGCACTGCTACTGCTGCTGATGCCGACGATCGGACACCACCACATAGGTGATTGGACTGAATCCGATCAGCGGTTGAGGGCAGCCTTGATAGCTAGCTACTGGCGGGGAGCCTTTCTTTGTGTACTGGAGAACACCCACCAATCACCATTGAACAAACACCGTTTGGTGAGACCGGACGGAATTCAACTTTCAGGGCTGGTAGTGCTGATGCGATATAATAGTAGTGACTTTAGTGACTACAATTACGGAAATAGTGACCAAATAGTGACTTGTAAATACTAAATAAGTAACCATTTATATAGTAACTTAGAAATTCAAATAGGGTTTGATAGTGAAATAAACTTTTAAACGATACATACCTTCCTCAAAATTGTCCTTCCCACCTCCCCCCCCCCCATCCCTATCTACTTTGTATATACAATGTTCACGCTGCCGTACTATAACGGCACTATCAACTCTATAATTTAAACTCCTCATCTATCGTATAAAATCTCCACTTTAAGTCTGATATGTAACGTTAAGCATCTCCGACTACGTAAATCGTTAAATTCACCCATGAAGTAAAAACACATGATTAGTTAGAGTAGATTATTTTCGTTTTTTATTGATTCTTCTAGGAACTCCCTGAAGGCTCCTTTCATAAATCAATTTTAAATTTATTTGAATTTTCTTTAGAATTACAGTACAATTGACCTATGAAATTTGATAAATTTCTACTTAGAATAAATTTCGACTTCTCCCTTGCATTCAATTAAAAAATTCAATTCGTATTCTCTTTAGAATTCCCAAAGAATTTCCTCAGAATTCTCAAAACAAAAATCAATCACAGAATAACTTTGAAAATCTTCTTAGAATTCCTTTGAGATTGAACCTTCAAAATTCGATTTCATTGGAATTCTTCTAGGAAATTATTTCGAACTTTTAAGAATTGGAAGTATCTTCAGAAATCACCCCAGAATTATTTTAGAACTATCTGCAGAGACCATCGTTGGAGTACACGGAATTTTCATCCCTTAAGCAAAATTTCAGAACAAATTTGGAATTCTTATTAGAATTGGACCCAGAATCCTCATCCAATCATTCTTCTCAGAACTCTCGTTTAAATTCACTCTGAATTATATTGGAATTATTTCCAAAATTGTTTCGGAGCTAAATTTTGCGTCTCTAATATAAATTTAAACAATAATTAAAAGCGACGCTCGTATGTGTTAAGCCAAGTTTAACCATGTAGGTAAACCTGGCTTAAGATTTAAGCGAAGATGAAGAAATCGGTCCTCAGAGCACTTCATTTTACATGGGACTTTCGTAGTCTGTGCTTTGGTATTCTTCTCTGATATATCTTGATGTCATCCCTAGAATCCATTAAAATTCTCTTAAATTTACTTTGGATTTTTTAAAGCTCTTAACATCCTTGAAAGACATTTCGTTGATATTTTTAAATTTCACTCTATGGTAGTAGTGAAAAAAGTGACTTTAGTGATTATTTTCAGGGAAATAGTGACTTTAGTGACTTTTTGGTGTAAAAAGTGACTTTTTAGTGACTGGATTCAAAAAAGTGACCAAGTCACTAAAAAGTGACCTTCTACCATCCCTGAACTTTGAAATCTGTGTTAGAGAAATCGTTTTCCACAGGCAATCGGTGATAATTTCAATTATAGCAACAATTACACATTCATGAAACTTTCAATGGTGACATTTTGAAAAATGATTAACTCTTTAATTTAACAGATGCGTAGAAATATTTCTGATCCATTGGTCATAAAATTATTGAAATGGGTCCAGGGGCAGCTGAGTTATTAACGTTCAAAATCTTTCATAATTTTGTTACATGCTCCATTTTTGGTTTTCACAAAGTGTACTCCCATACAGAAATCGCAGACGTAGTCCTACGTCAAAATCCAGGTACAGTACCTATCCGTTTTTGGCAACACTCATCAGCTATTGCTTTCCTCAGATATGTATTAGTGCTAGCATTAGTGTTTCGAATTGGCATACCTATCAAAAGCAGTTCCTATTGTATGCACTCCGCAAGTTAGGTGGGACTGTATTTCCTCTGCCATCTTACACAGCTCGATGTATGCTCATAAATATCCAAACATCAAAAGAGCGTCGTTAATTTGCTATGATTTCAGTCGTAAACGATATCGTATCACATCGCATTGATGCAATAGAACTTTTGTCATCCTTAAATTTATAAACACCATCTAGGCATTTACGAAATAGAAATATATTTGCTACAAATCGTCATCGGGCCCTTTGAACCAAATGATGGACAGTGCGGTAACATCGACTTTACAATGACAAAACAAAATTAAAGCAATATTTTAATTCCTCGCATAACGTCAGCTAGAAGTAGTGTTTTTTAACTTGTGCTGAAGGCATATTATTAAAAAAAAAATATAAAAAGATAAAATTGTAAAAATAGCACTTAAGACACTTAAGGCAGCCTCCAAATAATTCTTTTGGAAATATCGTTCCTCAGTATTATCTTAGAATTCTCCAAAAATTCCCATGGAATAATCTTGGATATTCCCTCTACGTTCCGCTTAGAATTCTCTTGGAGTGGTTCGGCGAATTCCTTGAAATGGTCCTCACAATTCCCTTGAAACACTTATTTGAATTCTCTGAGATGTTGTTCGCCTTGAGACTCTCCATAGTATTTCTTTGAGATTTACCTCAAAACTTCTTTGAAATTCTCCCAAGAGTAGTTTTGCAACTATCCTCTGAATGTTCATTGAATTCTCTTCAGAATTCCTTTTGGATTACCCTTTATCACATGGCATTCTACTTACAAGTACCTTGGAGTTTTCCGGTGTATTAACTTTCAGTTCTCCTTCCAAATCCCTTAGAAAAGTCCCCTCAAAATAACTGAACAATTTTAGTCCGAACTCTCTTTGAATTACCGTTGGAATTAGCTTGGCATACTTCACAAATTTTTTTTTTTGCGAATTTACTTTAAACCCTACTACGGATTTCCTTGGAATTCTACCTCAGAACTATCTTGGAGTCTAGAGTCTGGAGTTCCTCAGAACTAATTGAAAAGTAAGCCTCAGATTTCACTGTCCTAAAAAACCAACGTCTGAAGTTTTCCTTTGAATTCTATAGATTCTTGGAAATTCACATCAAATTTAGTCATTAAAGTTCATAAGCTTTGAAACATTTGCAAGACCCTTAATCTATTTGAAAAATGGGTTCTTGAAATCAATTCTATGTCCGCAGTCTTGAAGATTTATGTTCGTTTCAGATTTGTTTTAAACTTCTCCAAGTTGGATTTCATCAGGTCCAAGATTTAAAAAAAAAGACAAAGTTTAAAATTTGTAGAAATCACAAGGACCATAAAATATACAATAAATTTAAGCTTAAGAATTTAAAGTTGCTAGCGAAGATAAAACTGCTCCAGAATTATTTCGTTCTGAGTAAGAGTAATTTACGAGGACGATAAAGTTAGTTGTACTTTGAAATATGTCATATTTCCTGTGAAGGTTCTCTGGCGTGCTTCATAATATTATACTCTTTAAAAAAAAATTCTTAATACATTCCAGGTTTTCCAGGTAAAGTAAAATTCCCTGATCATTCCAGATTTTTTCAATTTTTTTCCAGGCAATAGACACCCTGTGATGGTACCTCTAGTTTAAACAAAATTATTTGCAGAACTTCAAGCTAGTAAGTTTCATGGGAATCCCTAATAGAATTCATAAAAAATGCTAAAGGTATTCATGAGAAGGTTTCAAAGCGATGAGTCCTCACCAATAAAGTTTTCATACCAACTTGAAGTTTCATTCGTTCATAGATTATATGATTGAATCGCGCAGAATTTGACAACTTTTTTAACATTGAAAAAGCACATAGGGAAAATGTCGGCTTCGGCAATACCTTAACCTATTATTGTCAGGGGGTAAAAAAAAAGTCCTAGGGCACTCAAATTTGGCCAATAGATGCTCTGAAACACAATGTATCCACATGCCAAAATTGAGCTCTCAAGGACGTTGTTTACCCCCTGACGATAATAGAATAACGTTTTGCCGAAGCCGTGTTTTACCCTAACTACTTGAAAATCACATTTTATCAAACTCCTTAAAAACATAAAATTCGGTGACTATTATGCATTAACTAGTTGGCATTTTATACAAGTAACTCATTTTCTGAGAAAATTTATGTTGGAGGGTAAATAGAGCATAAGTTATATTCATTGAGTGTTGTGTTTAATGTGTTGTTACTTAATTGAATTTGAGCACTTTTTTTGATAAAAAAAATTAAAAATGTTGAACACAGTGAGCAACGGTATTTCTGGTCACTGATTCAGATTAAGTGTCTTCCAATCTGCCGTTGTTTGATGATCTGTGCTAGCAAATTTAATAATCGCTAAACTTATGCATCCTTCCTAACAATATGTGCATAATAGACAAGTAAGCAACACGTTATGCCTTTTATTTCCACAAACTCTGATTAAAATCTAGCATGATGCTGTTGATACAACTCGAAACACACAACACTTTTTCATGATCTTTATTTTTTAAATTAAAAATCACATGAAATCTATTCCAGAATCCTAACTAACAAACAATCAGCTTTGACAACAGTTGCTATTTTTGCTTCGATCTTCACAAAGGAAAAATATTCCAATATTTTTAATTACATTAAGGAAACGTCATTGCACAAATCAGCTCACCCAATACCGTCAGCTCCAGTACAAGATATAATTTGAATGCGTCACCATTGATAACTACGTTTCATACTTGTTAATATTCTGTTCCACACTCCCCAAAAAACCTCACCAAACTATCCCCATTCCCTCAACCCCCACTCACCTTCCCTCGCGTAGGCGACCAAAATCTCGTGAAACAGCAGCATCAGGTGCTGTTGCCTTTGGTACTCGTCCACCGCTGAGCAGACCTGTTGCGACACGTTCGGACTCGCTGCCGACTGTTGCTGCTGCTGCTGTTGCTGTTGCTGTTGCTGATGGTGATAGGCCTGATTAGGCTTCACCGGTTCATCCTCGTCCACCGAGGGAATGTAGAACGCGACTGCCATTTTGCTCACTTTTTTTTTCCACGAAAGAAAATCAGTCTTCTCACTCAGTTTATAAAATCAGTCAATGTCACTTGAAAACCCGACCGGTGTGGAAGTTTCTCCCACCCGCCGTCACTGGGAAGCTTTTCCTTTCCGCACAAATAATCCTTGTTCTTCACTACTGATTGGGGAAAAAACCCAACACCCGTCACCCGGTGACGGAATGATCAGCGACACGGCACGCGGCTCACGATTTCCACCCGACGTCAAGAATGAAAACAAAGAACTTTTCCAACTCACGAATGATACGTGCCAACACAAACAACTTTCTTCCACTGGGAAATATCGGTATCTTCTGAGGAGCTAACAGGGAAACACGTCCACTTAGCACAATTGCTGACTGCAAACTGATTCCACCAGTGACCGGACTAGCGCGTGGTGCACGTTTCAACTTGTTGAGGTATCGTGTTCGCATCAACAAGCGGCACTCGGTCGTCCATCGTTTGAAAGCCGAACGCAGCTAGACGGTCGGGTTTCATGTGCGCTTGTGTTGGTCCGGATTTGTGTACGGATACGACTCGTGTAGCGATTGGCGACGAGTGTTGCACTGTTGCACGGTTCGGGCTGTGTGTTGCACACCGAAGGTGTGAGGACTTTGGCGGGAAAAGGTAGTCGCGTTGAATACGTTCAAGAAAATACGACAAAAGAAAAGACGATGACGGCGGCAGTAGTAAATTTGTTAGATTGAGTGGTGTGTACAAGTGTGGTTTTCCGATGGTGGAAAGAGTGAAGAAAAAGGGGTGTTGACCGAGAGTATGATGCGGGTAGGTATCTCAAGGAAGGGATTTAGGGCTTAGCTATTTTCGGATTGGGTAAAGGAAGAAATGAGGAGTTCCCAATAATATAATAAAAAAAAAATTAAATAAAGGTAAGAAGTTTTTGGTCAGTCAGTGGTGACAATGCACAGTTGATAAACAAATAGGGTTTATCAGTCCGCATCGTGCTCTCTTGCCGTGCGGATCTATTTGCTTTTTGCTGAAGGAAGTGTTACTACTACCTAAAGCTACAACAAATTTAAACAGCACTTTTCAGTGCTCAACCTGTAAAAATTTTCTACCTTGTTCAACTCTTATTCCTCTTCGATCCTTGTTTGGACCCTACCCGAGGTAATCCTTCTTGGATATCGATTTGGAAAATTCCTCTTCGATCCTTCAGATTCTTATAGTAATCTGTTTGGAAGTCGATTTGGATAAAAATTTACTGCCGCCATGGCGCCTAAACGCAAAAGAAAGGGGCAAACTCTTGACCCCCCTTCTGATGAAATTAATTTGAGTAATCGATTTGATTTTCTCACGGATGATGAGAATGATCCATCATCCAAGAAAAATTCTAGTAAACTTTCCCGGCTTAATGCCAAGAAGGAAAAGATTCCCCCTATTGTGATAACCACTACCGATTTCCATGCTCTTCGCATGGAACTTTTGAATTTCGTGAAAGTTAAGTTTTCACTACAAATTGGACGTCGGGGTGAATGCCGTGTATTGGCTGAAACCTTGGACGGATTTAAATGTCTTCTCAAGTATCTTACTGAGAAGAAGCACAAATTTTTTACTTACGACACCAAAACTGAACGTGTGTTCAAGGTTGTCATGAAAGGACTGCCCAGTGGTGAATCCCTGGATCAGATCAAAGATGAACTGGCAAAATTACTTGGAGTTGTGCCACTCCAAGTAATCAAAATGAAAATGAAATCCCGTCCTGGCGATTCACGCAACGGGATTTTTAATGATTTTTATTTAGTTCACTTCAAGTCTAGTGAACTAAACAACCTTAAGGCCTTAGAAAAAGCTAGCCTTATGCTCCATGTCCGAGTGAAGTGGGAACACTTCAGGAAGACTGGAGGAAATTTCCAAAACCTCACCCAGTGCCGTAAGTGCCAGGGATGGGGTCACGGAACAAAAAATTGCTACATGCCAGCTAAATGCATGAATTGTGGTGATTCCTCTCACGCAAAGGACGACTGTCCTGTGAAGGAAGATCCTAAGAAATTTAAATGTTCAAATTGTGGTGAAAACCACAAATCCAATTTTTGGGAATGTAAGACTCGCAAAGCGATCCTACAATCTCGTTCTAACCGTCAGGTAGGAAACGCTCCACGTTTCCGACCAGGTACAAATTCCTCTGCTGTTAACAACGGTCAGCGAGGAACAAATTCTACATTCGTACCCGTAGGTACAAATATCTCCCCTGCTTCAAATGTTTCATCTGTACCTACTCCCCTCGCTGCTAACAATGTTCAGCGAGTTAATGGAGCTACCTATGCTGCTATTGCAGCGGGTAGAAATCAAAATACTAACCAACGTTCTAATGGAAATTTTGACAATTTTGACTTAGGAAGCATTACTGCCCCCAAAATGGAATTTTTACAGAATTCATTAATTGAAATGATTTCTGATATGCTTAAATCTAACTCCATGTTTGATGCTATTCAAACTGGAGTAAAGTTTGCAAATAATATTGTCATGACTTTAAAATTCAGTAATGGATTTTAAAGCATTAAATATTGTAAATTGGAATGCTCGATCTCTTAAAGATAATGAAGACGAGCTATTTAACTTTTTAAGAGTTCATAACGTGCATATTGCCGTTATAACTGAAACGTTCCTTAAACCTGCCCATAAGGTTAAGAAGGACGCAAATTACTTGATTTATAGAAATGATCGTCTTGATGGACCCTGTGGTGGCGTTGCCATCATTATTCATAGACGAATCAAACATAAAATTCTTTCTTCATTTGAAACCAAAGTTTTTGAAACTTTGGGGGTTTCTGTTGAAACAAAATTTGGACAACTTACGTTTATAGCTGCCTATTTGCCATTCCAATGCGTAGGCCAGCAAAAGAATTTTCTCAAGGGTGACCTCCAGAAACTTACCCGTCATAGGTCTAAATTCTTCATTATTGGTGATTTTAATGCAAAACACCGCTCATGGAATAATGCTCAAAGCAATTCCAATGGTAATATTCTGTTTGATGATTGTTCTGCAGGTTATTACACTATTCAATATCCAAACAGCCCAACATGCTTTTCTTCTGCAAGAAATCCCTCCACTATTGATTTGGTCTTAACTGATTCATGTCAACTTTGTAGCCAATTGGTTACCCATGCTGACTTCGGTTCTGATCACCTTCCAGTAACTTTTGAAATATCCCAAGAAATAATTTGTAATCCCAACAGCTCTACTTTCAATTACCATAGAGCTGATTGGGAGCAGTATCGAACATTTATGGAATATAACTTCGATCCAAACATTCCTTTGCAAACCAAAGATGAAATTAATTATGCTCTTGAATCTCTGACTACTTCTATAGTTGAAGCAAGAGCTGCCTCAGTACCAAAATGCGAGGTTAAATTCGATTCAATTATAATAGACGATGATCTTCAGCTCTTGATCCGTCTTAAAAATGTCCGTAGGAGACAATTTCAAAGAACACGCGATCCTGCCATGAAAGTTATCTGGCGGGATTTGCAAAAACAAATTAAAAAGCGATTCTCTGCCCTGAGGAACAAAACTTTTGAAAATAATATTTCTAAATTAGACCCGAGTTCCAAACCCTTTTGGAAACTCACAAAAATTTTGAAAAAACCTCAAAAGCCTATTCCAGCGCTTAAAGAAGGTGGTAAAATTTTGATCACAAATTTGGAAAAAGCTCAGAAACTTGCTAAGCAATTCGAGAGTTCCCATAATTTCAGTTTGGGTCTTACTAGTCCTATTGAGAATCAGGTTGCTCGGGATTTTCTGAATATTTTCTCTCGGGAAAATATTTTTGATGATTCCTGGGGGACTGATTTGGACGAAGTAAGGTCTATAACTAAAAATTTTCAAAATATGAAAGCTCCAGGTGATGATGGAATTTTCTATATCCTCATCAAAAAACTCCCAGAGAGTACCTTGTCTTTCTTGGTAAAATTATTTAACAGATGTTTCCATTTGGCATACTTTCCTGATAAATGGAAAAATGCAAAAGTTGTTCCAATTTTGAAGCCGGATAAAAATCCAGCTGAAGTTTCTAGCTACCGTCCAATAAGTTTGCTTTCTTCAATAAGTAAACTTTTTGAAAAAATAATTTTGAATAGAATGATGCTTCACATCAATACGAACTCAATTTTTGCAGATGAGCAGTTTGGATTTCGCCATGGGCATTCAACTACTCATCAACTCTTGAGAGTTACCAATTTAATTCGTTCAAACAAATCTGAAGGCCACTCAACTGGAGTTGCTCTTCTAGACATAGAAAAAGCATTCGACAGTGTTTGGCATGAAGGTTTGATTGCTAAATTGAAAAAGTTTAATTTTCCACTTTATATTATGAAATTAGTTCAAAATTATTTAACTGACAGAACTCTTCAAGTAAATTATCAAAATTCCAAATCTAATCGACTACCTGTTAGAGCAGGAGTTCCTCAGGGTAGCATTCTTGGGCCTATATTGTATAACATTTTCACTTCGGACCTCCCTGATTTGCCTCAGGGTTGCCACAAATCTTTGTTCGCTGATGACACAGGCATTTCCGCTAAAGGAAGAAGTCTTCGTGTTATTTGCAGCAGACTGCAAAAAAGTTTAGATATTTTCTCTTCTTATTTACAAAAATGGAAGATTTCTCCCAACGCTTCCAAAACTCAACTTATAATATTTCCACATAAGCCTAGAGCTTCGTTTTTGAAACCTAGTAGTAGTCACATAGTCACTATGAACGGAGTTCCAATTTCCTGGTCAAACCAAGTGAAATATCTTGGATTAATACTTGACCAAAAATTAACTTTTAAAGATCACATTGAGGGCATTCAAGCCAAATGTAACAAATATATAAAATGTTTGTATCCTCTTATAAACAGGAAATCCAAACTTTGCCTGACGAATAAACTTCTAATATTTAAACAAGTTTTTAGACCGGCCATGCTTTACGCTGTGCCAATATGGTCTAGTTGCTGCACTACCAGGAAAAAAGCACTTCAAAGGATTCAGAACAAAATTCTGAAAATGATTTTGAAGTTGCCTCCCTGGTACAGTACTACCGAGGTACATAGAATTTCGAATGTTGAGACTTTAGCACAAATGTCCAACAAAATAATGAATAATTTCAGGCAAAAATCGTTGCAATCCTCAATTGCAACGATTAATTCCCTTTATACTTAGATAAGATTTAGTTTTAGTTTTTAGTTTTAAGATATCAATTGTTATACTGACATGCAGGTTAAAAAACCTGTTTAAAATACTGAATTGCCAAGACATGAACAATGTAAAAACACTTAGATATATATCATAACAATTAAGGCTGGTACGTTACTGCAGTAACTGGAGCACCTAGGTTAAAATGAAATGT